TTAACCCCTTCATGACACAGGGTCAGTTCATGCTTCATCCAGCACAGTTTTGGATCACCAGGGAAAAATAGTAGCACTAAATTTAGTTGTCAGTTTCCTATGATCAGACCCGATTCGCAAATACTACTAACCATAAATCTCAAATACACTGACTTTATCATAGTCCTATTTCTAATGAGATGAAGCAGGGAGGACTTTTCTTTAGCTTTGAGGGTGGGCGGGGTGAAAGTGGTTCCAAATATAAATGAATCAAAAAATTTAAAGAACGCATCCACTTCATACTTAAGTCTGTAAAACTTTGGTATAATTACGCACTCCTTTTGGACTCAATTAAGATTGATCAATTCATAATTAGCCATTGTACGTTTGGCCAATAAACTGGGGACGCCAGGGGAGGTTATAGAGTTTAATTTGCCTACCTCTCCGCATTACAGGGGAGGGGGGGGGAGAATAAGTGGCACTCGTAGATGATTAGAAAGAAGGTGACTCCCATGGATAATATATTATGACGGTGTTAAACATGCATTCTATATAGTTGCCTTGTAGGGTTTTTATGGATTTCTGTCTTTATGTTTTTCTTTATTTCAAAGGAAAAGAACTTCAGCATGGAGAGGCATATTTAACTGATTCCGTCCATGATTTTCTCAAGCTCTGGACAGAATTATTTTTCCTTGTTCAGTTTTAGACCTGGGATGTATCTATTTAGAGCCTTACTGTGAAGTTCTAATTAAGTACTCTAATAGGTATTCATTTACCAAAGTGATGGGAATCAATAGAGGAATCTGTTTATATCAATAACAAAGACCTATAATCTGTTTGTATTGTATTTTCCGTCAGACAAAAACAAATGAGGAAAAAAAATTGTGCAACACCTCTTCGAAAATTTTGACTTACCGCATTTTCTCAGCTCTACGAGTCCTTATAATCCATAGGAATCAACACAAACTTGTAACGATATCACCCTAGCACACATTTATGCAAGAATTTCCCAAATTTAGTTGAATATATTTCTTTGAAGGGCTTTTTTATTACACCAGGCTCCGTGTTATTTACCCTTAGATCTAGCCTACATTGCGACAACAAAACAATGATTTTTGCAAGAATTTCGCGGAGTTTCGATCGATATTGGCGCTCAGAGATTGAGGTCAGGTTTGTTTTCAAGTTCTACTTCCTTTCGACAACTTAAAAAGTAGGAACTAAGTTAAAAAGTGCTCATTTGTTTCGGATTTCGCTGAGCCGCTCACAGCAGTCGAATGGATGCAGCGGAAAAGTTCAGAGCCGCTGTCAGCGGCGGAAGGGACGGAATCTGTTAAGGAACTTAGGTAGGCCTACTCCAGTCTTGTGCTCATGTAGGCCTATATAGTTAACTCCTTTAAATTGTGATTCAAGTTTATATGCGTTACCCGAATTTTGACTTAATATATGTCACAGATTTTTTTATTTTTTTCATTTAATATGCTTTTTATTCAATTTGAACTCTACGCCAGGCCTAATTGCTAAGATAAGTTCCACTCTTTGAACCAGTCTGGAGGATTTCAGGGGTCATAACCCCTGCTGTGAGGTTTTTAAAAAATTGGGGGGGGGGGGGTCACAGCCGGGCTTTCCTCTTTGTTTTTCACTATAATTTGAAGTTTTGCAATTAGGTTTGAAATTTTATTCGAAATCATTGATTTACGACACTGTTCTGCAGCACAAAATACAAAACAGTCAGGGGCGAAGGCTGACTTATTTGACAGGGTAATCAAAGTGAGACAGGACTAGATAGGGCCTGGAGATATCACACAAGAATCTTACTCGAGACAGCAACTGGAGTTGTGAATGAAAACAAATTCTGAATTCATATTATTGTATGTTCAACCGCCAAAATAATCGGGAAAGTATCTCATTAAATATTAATTCCAACTATAATAAAATTTAACTTCAGATGTGAATACACAAACACAAAGCAAAGAAGCAGAGATGTCAGTACTACACATGTATTACCAGTGAGTTTAAACTCTTTGGTAGAATATAGGACAATCGTCAATTTTTTATTTTACATTTGGCTGTTTTTGTCTAGCTTTTCACGGCCAGGAGCCGGTGTCATAATCGAGGTCCCGGTCTGATTATAGGACGGTATAAAATTGAAGAAAAAAACAAGAACTCGCAGCAGTCAAATATTATTAGGAGTTACTTCCCCTCACATCTGTGAGGTAGACTCGACTGGTGTAATAGTTAGCTTACATAATCAGTGCTTGTGACTGCTTTTAACTGTGGCCCGAAAGGGTTGAGCAGGGTATATGTGGCAATGAAACAATCTTGAGTGCTGTTCCATTCAACTCTTTTGGTAGACTCTTCCAGCCTCACTTTAAGCTTACTTAATCAAACATTAATTGTGACTGCTTATAGAGTGGCTCGAAAGGGGTGAACAGGCTATTTCTGTGGCAATGAAAGCGTTCAGAATGTTAGGCATACTGTTCATTGGTGATTATGAACGTCTTTTTACATTTAATTTATGAGGTTTTCGTTTATGGGTGAATTTGACTGCGACAATGTTTTAAAATTAGGAAGGGAAGCAGTGGTTATTTAATTATATAGATGCTTCGCCACTGAAAACAGTGCATCTGTGTGCTGGAATGAAAGTAGAAATTTACTGGAATTCATGAATGTTGTGGGGGTAGAAATCATGATCATGATGATGGATGATGATGTCACCTTTTAGACACTCAACAAAGACTGTAATGAAAGAGTGAATTAATTTTCATTGCACATTGAATTTTGTGATGTGCATAAAGTTTAATGTGAGGCAAATACTTAAAGAGCCCTTAAGTGCCTCATAATCAGAAGGCAGAATGCTCGGTGTCCGATGTTAACCCCTTCGTGACACAGGGTCAGTTCATGCTTCATCCAGCACAGTTTGGGATCACCAGGGAAAAATAGTAGCACTAAATTTAGTTGTCAGTTTCCTATGATCAGACCCGATTCGCAAATACTACTAACCATAAATCTCAAAGGTAAAGATTTCTGTGTACGGAAAAAATATTCTCGAATGTGAATCTGCGATTAGTTTTACGAAATGCACCTAATAAAAGCAGTATGCAGAATACAACCTATGATAAACGGTGTTAGTCATCATGGTACTCGTGCTTTGCAAGGCATGACAAATGGCGAACGTCACTGCAGCTTCTTGGCTCGCTCGCTCTGCGTGTAAGAAATAATTACAAACGATGTACATCATATAGGTTGCGACGGGGTTCATGTGTCACTGTCAGCAGCTTTTGTTGATATATATAAGAAAATCTCGCCCTCTCACTGTAGCTGATTATGATAAAACTCTCACTATACAATGTACAAAGTTTGATGTACATTGAAGAGGGACTTCACTAAAATACTTTAAAAAGGTGAACATCATTATAAAAGGACATGTTTTACATGAATGTTTAGGACATTTCTTTTAAAGGGTAGAAATACTAGATGGGACTCGAGACTTCTGATAGTGAACGTTACAGCCCAGCGTAGGTCCTCGTTTTAAGACAAGTAATTCTAACTGAGGTTCTGCTGTACAGATTTTTTTGTCTTCTTTTAATAATAATATCTTCAAAACATTAGTAGGCCATAATAATCTGTCCCTGCCAGACATGTAATGATTCCCTGCTACTGACTTTAGCCCTTATATTTTTTTAAGTCTAAAAGACTGGGGGGTTTTATTTGATGTTGTTATTTTGACTATTTGACCCCTAGAGCTTTGAAACTATGAACAGGAAAGAATGTCATTGCCATAATATATATAATCATATTAAATCAGGAAATTCACTTTGTTGGGTTTTTTTAACTTTTCAGACTGAGAAAGGGTACGAGGAAATTTGCCAGTCTTTATCGCCAAATAATCTTTTTGAAGACCCTGACTTTCCAGCAAATGACTCTGCCCTGTATCTTGACCCTAAACGGTATCGTGATTCAAAAATAGAATGGATGCGACCACAGGTTTGTACTTTTTCTTCTGATCATTCAAGCTTAGGAATATTTGTCCTTGACGTAGGCTCAACATTAGTATCCTAATTTTTTGTCTTAAAAATTTCTTTCTGGCTTTGTGAAAGACACAGATGCCTGCTTTCTTCTGGTTGCAAAAAAACAGTTACTTTTTAAATTTCAGCTACGTGTACTTTATGAATAGAAGCTGGAACCCTTTGAATACAAATAATGCTAAGAAAGACCAAGAAAGAGGTGGTTTAACTTTTGTTTAGTTCATTATACACTTATTCATTATGATCTGCTATCTGTTTTTCATCTTAACTGGTTACTTTTTTCAGGAAATACTAGGTGATGGAAATGAGGCTGAGCTTATAACAAATGGAGTCACAAGAGACGACATCAAACAGGGCATCCTCGGAGATTGTTGGTTCCTTTCTTCATGTGCTGCAGTTTCTCGAAGAGATCAGCTGGTGACAAAAGTAATTATGTCAGATTTACTACCTATAGTGTGTTCTTCAGAGTTGAGCTTTCATAGAATCAACTAGTATCTTTGGTACTACTCTGTGATGTTAAACTTCTTTCCCATCCGTATTCCTGTGTTCTAGAGGTTAGGTTGCAACATGCCAATAACGTTGGTTCCATATCAAGATTTGAGCTGAGTTTCAAATTTATGAAAAGAAAATTTTGAGTCCAGGTAAAAAATTCTTCTCTTTTTAAAAAAATACTAACCCTAAGGTATAATGAACATTGTGCAGAGAAATACTAATGGTGCAATTTGAACGTCAGATGTGAGCAGTGGTTATAATCACCTATCTTTTCATGTTGAATATTGTATTCAGATGCTTCCACTAGGTCTGTATATATCAATTCCCTACTTTTTCATTCCGTATTTGAAGTTGTAAAATTTATTGTTGCTTTCACAAAACATTCAGTTTTAGAACTGCTATTTCCCTTTTCCTTCCTTGCATAATTTTTACATTATAATGACACTGTGTAGTGTACTGTGCAAGAAGGCCACATGTCTAATACAACCTTTTTTTTCTCTTCGATAATTGTGGGTGTCCATCTTGGGCGGTTTCAACTGTTCTTGTAAAAAAGCATTTTCAAAGGCTTCAAGAGTTATCTTCTTCACATTAGATTTTTTTTTTTTTCTATTCGTACGTTAATTCAAACTAAGCTACTTCAAAAATTGAGTTCAAATTAAAGTATGAATGTATCTAAAATTGTACAGTGTCTGTAGAAATGTTTAATTGCAAGCATAAATATATAGGAGATAAGGAGTGGGATGCCTCAGTGAGGTCACCCCTCTTTGTTCAGAAACTCTACAAATTCTGGTATGTTTTCGATTACATTCCACTTTTTGTTAAACCACTCGTTTCTGTTAATCCACAGATAATACCAGCCAACCAAGTTCTATCTGGGCCAATGTACAATGGTCTGATTCGCTTCAACTTCTGGCGGTTTGGTGAATGGGTCATGGTGGTTATAGATGACCGTCTGCCTACTGTCAAGAAAAAACTCATCTATGGTCAAAGCAAAGATCCCAAGGAGTTTTGGGTGGCGCTAATGGAAAAAGCATATGCTAAGTATGTGAAATTAATTCACAGTTAATAAGACTTTTTTAAATATTATTAAGTAAATGGTAAGATCATGTAGATTTAGGACTGGCAATAGGTAAATTATAAGGCAGATTTGCCATGGCCACATGTTCAAGAGATTTCTGTCTCTTTGTTATTTGAGATGGTGAGGTGATTTGTTAATTCTAAATGCTACTGCCATGGATCTTTTGGCTCTTCTTGACTAAAGTTATTGTTGTGCAGTTGAGAAAAAGTTTGTTTTAATTTCCATAAACACTTTTTTATAAAAGTAAAATGATTGATTGCTGTCTCTAAGATGTTTATATTAGTAGTTTCGTATTCTTTTCTTTCTTCAGACTCCATGGATCATATGAAGCATTAGAAGGGGGAATAACAATGGATGCTCTTGTTGATTTGACGGGTGGACTGGCTGAAAGATATGAACTAACAGAGTATGACCCAAGCCTTTATAAGCTCATACTTCGAGCACATAAGTCAGGAGCATTTATTGCTTGTTCACGAAAGGTACACATATTTGAACATTGTTCTTTGATCTTTGTCTTCTTTTAATCAAATCGAATAAGTAAAAATGTGCGTATTTAAAATGCAGACAAGAATGGAAAATTGAAATGTATGAAGAAAATTCTATCGTGCAGTTAGCTTGAGATGAACATGTGGGGTACATGTGTAGTTGCAAATGGAAGGTTTATCTTAATCACATTTGTTTAGAAAGGGTGGTTTTATATTGTAAAATAGACATCTTTGCTCAAAAAATTATTTCTTAAGCACACTGTTTGTCACTAAAAAAAGAAAAGAGTGAACTGCAATTGTTTTCAAGGTGTTAGGCATCATTAGCTTAAAATAAGTATTCACCTCCTAATATAGCCCTGTTGTCAGAATTTTTTGTAATCTGTAAATCATTTTTCTTTGTTAACAATAACCCATTTATTTTTCAAAATATGTTTCTCTGCAGTATCTCTATTTTTTAATGAAGACGTTGATAATATGTGAAGTGTGCTGACAAAGTGAGTTACTTTTCGCCTTCTGTGAATGGAGAGATGGGCCGAAAACCAACCCATGGGTCAAATTTGCAGATTTTTCAACTGATACCACTTTTTTAAAGTGTCTTTTATCTTTCATACTAGTATATTGTAGATACTCAACCTTTAAATTTGATTGATTAATCTTTATCCATTGGGCTGACTTGAAGAATTTACTCATTTATCAGCACATCTCACATAAATCAACATAATGTGTTCAACACCTCTTGAGGCATAACATTAACATTTGACAGGTACTGTACAATTTTAACTCTACAAACCCCAGCTCATCCCTCCTACCTGTACCCTTCTACAGATCGAAAGCATGCTTCAGAGCATGAGGAGTGTAAAGCTCGAAGTCATACATAGGGAACCCCAATGCAGGGGTTCTGTAGTATCAGCGGTGCAAGGCTTAAAGTGGTAGTGCACTATTCATTTCCTACATTTGACATGAGCAGCTTATCTCATATTAGGAAGATGAAATTGATTCCAGCCTTTTCATTCATCACAATGTGTGATTAAAACCAAAGGTTGTATGTGAGCTTGGTCGATTCCTGAAAAAAAGGTGTCCTCTGTTATGAATGTGCAAGAATGATGTTGATGAAGACATTTTGTTAATTTTCAAATACAGATTCCTTTCCCACAACATTTGCTCCTAATCTTTATATAAATAAAATTTATGACACTCCCTAAAAATAGCATGGATGTTCAATTTTCGTATTTCAAATAAAGAAGTGATTGATGTTAAAGAGCAATCTTTTCTCAACACTGATAAAAAGAGGTGAATTCATTATGTCTATCCACGATTGCAAGGACAAGGATATTAACCCTATCCGTACACCCTGGGGTCATTTTGTACCCCTGGGGTTGTATTCTTCACATTTTAGAATACTTCTAGTTCGAAGATCTCTTTGAAACTTTGAGTATTTCTCAAAAAATCATTTTGACAGATTGCTATGCAAAGCGTACGGATCGGATTAACGAGTAAATTTCCTCTTTGGAAATTGGTGACACAGAGTTCCCCAAGTCGTATGGATACGATAGTAAAACGCGCCGTACGGATAGGGATAATGAAGTATCTCTTTTTTTCTTTTTCAGGGAGACTGGAGATCCTCAACTAAAGCTGATGCAAATGGCCTTATTCCCGGTCATGCGTACACAGTTATTGATATAACAAAGGTTTGCAACCCTTCACTGAACACCACTTTTTACCTTTTTAATTTAAAGTTTTCTCAGGATCCATGATAGATATTGCAGAAAAGATTTAAATGGATTCCTTGAATGTGCTCACACAAATATTTTAAAAGGTGAACTGTTTTCCTGTGGCTCATGTGCTTTTGAAGTTTCTCAAGCGGATTAGTTAAAAATACAGTCAAATCTGTGTTAGACGGAATCGCAAGGGAGCCAGAAAAAAATCCCGTCTTAGACAGGGGAATTTCAGGGGAGATGGAGGTGGGGGGGGTCAAAGGCCGATGAGGTCAAGGATCGCTTGTCCGATTGGCAAGCAGTGGTCAAAACTTCACACCTTTCAATTTCAATCCTGTCTGATAATGACATGCGTCAGTCTTACTCACCTCCAGTGCTTGCCTTTCATAGGACCACTGTTTGACCTATTAGAAACAGAAACGTTTGAACATCTCCTTTGCTTTCACCCTTAGCCCCACCCACCTGTGTAACAAGCACAGTCAACCAATGCCACCCCTCACTGCCATCATGTAACAACGATTCGAGGAACATTTTTCTCTGCTGGCCATACAATCAGGGCGGCAGGCATTGGTCAATCTAATTTCACACCTCTGGCTTCTGGTTACCCAGGAAAGTTTGCGCAGTGGCTCGCTACTCGAGCACTCTCACGGGCAGTCGTGAGATTTCACACCCACACTACCCTGACCATCTGCATCTCTCAGAGCTCACATGATGTGGTAACATCTGAGAAGGCCTAGGATAACATCTCTACCCCCAAATTGCACCCCTTACTCCCCTTCCTCACCCAGCGGCATGGCCTTGGCGCATGGTGATAAGTTTAGAGCCGGCGGAACCAAACTTGTAAGTTTTGTTTTAAATCAGGGCTGAGCAGGCAAAGCATTTTCCGTCTTAGACAGGTGAAACCCTCTGAAGGGAGCGGATTTTTCTTTCCGTTTCTGCGTTGGACAGGTTTCCGTTTTACACAGGTAATTAAAGAAGAATATATCAAGGGGGGAGCTGGAAGATTCCGTAAAGACAGGTTTCCGTTTTATACAGGTTTACGTTAATGCAGGTTCGACTGTACCTCATTTTATATATATCTTTAGAATGGGGGAGGGGGGGATCCTGTTACAGTGAAGTCGCTTTTTGAACCTTTAATTGCCGAAAGATTTCATATTTGTCCAAAAATTTTAGAAAATATATAGTCGGCTCCACTTGTGTTGAACTCGCTTGAGTTGATCTTCAGTTATGTTGATCTTTTTCTCAGATCTCCGCACCTCTTCTTCTTTACAGATCCCAACGGTTAAGTTGAACTTCGGACGAGTTGATCCTTTTTTCACTTCCGCGACAACATCAACTAATCAGTAGTCATCTGTAGTTTGATGTCAATGCTTCTTTTTGGTATAGTGAGCTCACTGGTCGAAGGGTGCCACATTTAGTTCTTAGTTATTTCCCATAAGTGGAGGGTGTGCTGATATTTCACTTAGTTAGAGGGTGAAGCAAATGTGACAGTGTTTTATATATCACCTTTCTTTATCATAACAAGGATCTTCACAGACTGATGCAACCATGAAACAAAGCAGAAATTCAATTTTACAAACTAGTCTCATTTATTCCTGCAGATAAAACATAAGATGGGTGAAGAGAAGCTTCTGAGGGTGCGAAATCCATGGGGAGATGAGACAGAGTGGAGAGGATCTTGGAGTGACAAGTAAGTAGGAGAAAAGAATTTATATTGTAGTCTTGGAGTTTTCATATAATATTCATACGTACCTTTGTAGCAGCTTGTTCTTTCACATGCTTAAAGATGAACATAACCCTGAAAAAGCACCTGAGCTTTTCTTCCCTTTAAACAGATGCTTTCCTTCTGCTGCTCTAATGGGCTGCTTGAGTGTAATCAATGAGCACTTTGATGTGAAATACTCATTCTTCTTCTTTTCGACATGGAAAATTATACTCATTATTGTGTTGGAAAGCCATAATCATAAGACAACAGCTTGCAGTGTGCTAAAGGTTCCATGTTTGGTATGTGTCTTATTAAGCATTATACTTAATGCCAAAATAAACTTAACCTCATCCATGTAAGAACATTCCTTCAAATTAAAATCTCTGTACGATTTTGTTTTATATAATTTAGTATGATAACAGCATTAACGTTGATTTGAAAACTTGCCTCATATTTACTTTCCTCAGTGATGTGAACTGGAAGTGGGTGGATGAGGAAACAAAAGAAAAGATTCAGCAAGAATCGAAAGATGATGGAGAATTCTGGATGTCTTTCAAAGACTTCTATCGTCAGTTTGGAGAAGTGACCATCTGTCTCATGGGGCCAGACTTCGATGGAGATGGAGTGTCAGATCGTGTTGGTGTGTGACCTGTTTAATGATGTGTGGCATTTTCTTTCCCATTCAACTGTCATCCTTGATTGTTAATTCACTTAACCCTTTGAACCTTGGAACTTTCCAAATCTGGTGCTTTGTTTTCCGTTTACTTGTGACATAAATGAGCAACTTTGCAATCAGTTCTAACTTTTACTGTAAAGTTATCGATAAAGGTGAGGAAGTTTCATCATTGCTTTTTCCGTCATAATCAGAATAATTTTTTAAAGTTTGATGTGTTTTTTATATCGTGTTGATACGCTTTCTCCTCTTTGAGCAATAGACTTTCTATGCTCCACACAACTTGCTCTATATGTGGTGCTGGTGGTTGGGAGGCGCCACTGCTAGGTACTACTTCTTTACTTTCCCTCCGTCATTTTTGTCTGTCTGTCTCTCTTACTTTTTTCCAAGCACTTTAAATGACCATCATTGTGTCAATGTGCTTCTTTTTACTTAAACAAAAAATAACAAACTATATGTGGCACAGTTCTCGCTTAATTTTAAATCATACAGATATCTTTTCATGGATGAGCAAGCAGCTGTGGCAATAATTATGTGCCTCTTTAAAAAATTTCATGTGAATATTGGAACCTTTATTTATTCTTTAATTTTTATGAATACCACGTAGAATCTGTGTAAGCAGCCTCAACGGCAGTTTTCTCTTTGTATGTATACATATTTCTCTGCTCTTAACAAGGTTAGATTTTTTTACAACTGGCCTGTCTTTTTCATCCAGGTCACATGGAAATGATCCATGGAGAGTGGTCACTAGGTCAGAGTGCTGGTGGCTCACGGAACAATTTGGTGAAATTTGCCACAAATGACCAGTATTTACTCACCCTCACTGAGCCAGGTATAAAATCTTTTCTTTATTTATGGGTGTCACTGTTTCGTTTTTTTCCATGTGCAACAGGTATAATAATATTGTCTGTTGGTTTACATTGTGTATGTTAATGAGTGATAAAAAGAAATATGGAAGGAAATTTTAATTCCCTGACTGTTAGGAAGAAAATCACAAGACTGTATAAGCCTGCCTGTGATGAACGTTAAAATTTCAAGTTGTTTCATTCATGCTGTCCTTATCATGTCCAAGCTATTTGTTGTATAAACACTTCAGTATTTATCAGGGGTACTCATTTGGCTATGTCCTATTGGAGAAGGATGCTAAATTTGGAAGTCCTGCCTCTTTAATAACCTAGTAGTGTTGATAGGGGCGTTAGTCTCATAAACTTACTTTGTTTTGCTTTTACTAGATTTTTTTTTTAGTCCATAAGCTATTTGTTGCTCTCAACAGATGATTTCAACCAAGAAACCGATGATGCTGAAAGTGAAGGAAAAAGCACCATTGTAATTTCACTAATGCAAGAGCACAGGCGATCACGACGCAATGTTAAAGTGAAGAGTTACCAGATTGGCTTCTTCATTTACAAGGTTTGGCTATAAGTTAACTCATTGGTCCTGAATTTTCTTACATGGGGATGTTTTTCATAAGCTTTTCATGGATAGGGTATTTAAGAGAACCGTTGAGGGTATATATTAGTCGAATATCCAAATTCCATAATTTCATAATTTTTGCTTATTTGTTGGAAGCGACACTTTCAAGGTAAAAAAGTAAACCGTGTACAATGTAATTTGACTAATTAAAAAAAACATTGTGATTTTTGTGGTAGTAATGAGAAATTTATAGATCATAGAATCTAGATCTCTTTGTCTTCACTAACTTCCTTGCAAGTTTGAAGCCCATGGTTAACTTAATCAAACAGAGAAACTCAAGAAATTGTCTGTTTCATTTACCTACATTATTTTATTAAGTGTATTGAAAGCACAAGTTCTTATCTTGCTATTTTATCATTTAATTTCATTTATTTCTATAAAAATACATGCAAAGCTTTCTCAAACTGTTGATTTAACTGCATTGCTTTAACAGACTTGGATAAGTTTTTTCTGACTGTTGATTGCTAAAGTGCCACCTACCATACAACCTATAAAGCTATTCTGTTCGTTTATGCTACTGCGGTTTTTTTCTACAGACGGAAGATACAAACAATAAGCTCTCTCTACGCCATTTTCGTTACAACCCTGATGTTGCCAGAACCAACTGCTTTGTGAATTTCCGTGAAGTCAGTGGCCGTTTTGAGTTGGACCCTGGCCACTATGTGATCATTCCTTCCACCTTCTTGGAGGATTGTCCTGCTCATTACATGCTCAGGGTGTTTGGAGAGAAAAAGTTTTCTTTGAAAGGGTAAGTTTCCTGAATTATTTTTTCTTTTAACTATCACCCTAGGAAAGAGAATGCTGAGCAAAGAGCTTTAGCCTTTCTTAATTTTTATTTTTCGTGATTGGATTTTGATAATTTTGTTCTGTAAATGCCAGATTTGCAGTCTTTTTTAATAATTCATATTTGTTTCTGCTTCAGGCTTTATCAAGAGGATTGCAGAAAACGGTCGTTTCAAACGTTTTTGAAAAATACCTAACAACATAATTAAATTGTAATAGTTTAATAGGGAGTGAATCAAATCATCTTGGTAGATTTTACCATGGTGAGGCAAAGCTGTATTGTATTGTGAGTTGTATGTTTGGAAAGGGAAAGAATAATAATGATCTCCAGTTGTGGGTGGTTTCTTTTGGTCTGTGCCGTTGTTTTCTGCATTTGCATAAAGTTCAGCTGAAGACACAATGACATAATAACCTGTGGAACCTAAATTTGAAATGTTCAAGAAAACATTGTTTTCTTCTTTTTCAGTCTCTAACTTTGAATCTTATATTGTCCCTTTATTGTGAGGGAAATTTATGGGCTTTTAGTAAAAAAAAATACACATAAAAGTTCTAGGGTTAAGAAAAACTTTTCTCATAATACTTTGTATTTTCGTATTATTTTTCAGGCCACTGTTACCAACCCATGAATAGGTTAATTTTCCTTGGAGATGAGGAAAATCTGCTCAACTGAAAGGAGTTTATGCTCCTAACAGACTCCAACGCAATGTGTCAGGGAAGGATTGATGGCAATTTGGGATAAACTGGCCTGCTAAAGGTGTTCTTGTTAAGTCATGCAAGCTGTGCATTTGAGGAATGGTGACTATATGTCTTTGGTGTTTAAAAAAAACAAAAAAACTTTTTACATGATATTCAGATGTCACTTATTCCATGGGATCCATACAATCAACATTTATCTCATCATTTAAACTGGCATTGTGTACACATCAGTATAGTGAAAACTGTTTGCTGTAACTACCTATATTTTTTTCTTTATTTTTTTAGGCCTGGTTTCTTTGCCTGTGTGGCTTCCTTGCACACATGTTGTTGTTTTTTTAAAGAGCAAAATCTTTACTTTTTGTAATTCAGTTTTGGTTTATTAGCTTATGGCCATTGTGTTACGTGCTTTTTTATTTCCAGGACAGAAATTAGATATTTTTAGAGCACAGCAGCAGCAAATTCTTATTCTTTGAAAAAGTGTTTTATAACATTTGTATTCATGATTATGTGATCGATTCCTGTTTTCAAGAATGACTTGATTATGTTTTGAAATTCAGCTGTGGTCCTATTTCCATCTATAGCTGACAATCATGTAACAAAGAATTTTAATACAGATCTGACTGCACCATTATTAGGTTTCTTTCTCACTGTACTCACCGGGACCCATCCACCCATCCGTATTTTTACTCTTTTACATCTTGCCTCTTTGATATTTCTCCTCTATAATCCCTGTGACTGATTTGATCCAAGTGCCTCTTCAATTGATAATCACAGATGATGTGGAGTAATGGTATAATGACACAAAATTGAACTTGTTCACATATTTTCATTACATACTTTTAATGTTGTGAGATCTCATTTAAATTGAGTAAGTATTCTCATCTCATTGTTGTGATTTATTACTTTTTACTTTGATAACTGTTGTACTGTTTGTTGTATACACAGCATTGTGATAATGTCTTCTCAGCTTTTGTGAACCTCAATATTTTTATATTACAAATTTGTATTCTCAGCATTATAATTATTGTCCAATTCTGTTTTGTATTTACAGAATTTCTCTTCTCTTGTAAAGTTTTCTGTCTTCTTTTTGATAATTCATTAATAAGCACAGTAATTCAGGTTTAGTCACATGTGTACTTTGACACACTTATGCATACATGCACGCATGCATGTACACATGCGCACAAACACACATATACATACACACACACACACACACACACACATTCACACACACACACACACACACATGCACACACTCACAAAGACACCTACGCACACACACAAGCAATTGCATTTACTCTCAAATACAAACATTAATGAACCTGCAAACACACTCACTCACATTTCTTAAAAGTTTGTTGCTACAATAATGTACTTTTTAGCGATTTGCATCTCTAAATTATCAAAATATATTTTCCAAAAAGTAAGTACAAATTGAAATTGTAGTCATTAATTTGTTCTCACAACTGTTCAACAATTTTGGTAGCTCAATGGTTTGGTTACTGCACTCTTTTGCTTTGTTTTGAAAGACAATTCATTCATTTTCATGATTCTACCCAGTTGTGACTGTGAACTAGATTAGACAGTGGAGTCTGTTCAAATGGAACATGTTAATCCGAAAACAGCGGTAAACCAAAAGACAATACAATCCCCTATTTTTTCCTTCTGTTTGAGCAACCTCTCTTAACAAAAACGTGGGTAAACAGGAAAATCGGGTGGTCTTGCAGATTTTGGTTTAAGCTCTGGTTCATCAGTTCTGTTTCATGCTGTGAAGAATAAAAATAACTCCAGCTTTACAGGCTTCATAAACCTATTGATGTTCAGGACGGACTTTGATGCTCCCGCACTTTTAAAGGGAACAGTCTTTTAATCATGAATAAAAATATTTTGATACATTTCCTTCAACATAAAGCACTCATGTCTATTTAAACTCCACAATGATATTCAACTGAGACTGTGATTTCATCGATATTATATAGAACAAATGGTATTTTTTTGTGCTTTAAACTCTAAATTATTTGTTATCAAATCAAATGAAAGCAGGTTGTATTCCTGCCTTGCGTTGTGGCTTGTAGTATACCTCATATGCTTGTTTTCTTTTTGTAAAGAGATTTGCTAAACATGTACCCAGTATGTGTATATTGTTGTAATTAGTTAAATATTAAAGATGTGCACATTTTGCACAAACATTTTTGCACACAAGTGTAAATTATTTACCAAGCACTCAATAAAGCTAGCCCTTCTTTTTCAAGAAGAACTTTGAAATTATAAACTGTCTCATGTAAGACAAAAGGCAAAACTTTTTATAGACAATGTGACTATCTCTGAAATGTTACTGTTGTATTATAAGAAAGTCGACAGCAAATTAGACCATGTTAAACATTTGTCCGCTTGTCTTACACTGTAGAACAGGATGCTTTACGCCACTGCACAATGTTTGTAAGTTAAGATTCTCTTGCAAAGATAAATATTGCAATCCCTGTCGGAGTTTTATCAATGTCACAGTCATACTTGTGGAAAAGACAATGCGGAACTGATGAAAGATATTAGAAAGATAGGTTCTTCTATGGAAATGGCAATCCTTATTATTTATAGAAATAAGATACCCACAAAAAAGGATATTTGGCTGCATAATTTGTGACAAATTTATTATTTGCCATGACTATATAAGACATTATATCAGAGAACCTTCATTTCTTTCTTGTCGAGCAACATTTCAATAAGAATTCTACAATCAAAATATGTGAGTTATGCCCTCCACATTGCCTTATAATATACATGTGTTGTATTCTTTTCATCTCTGTACGAATATCTAAGCATTACATTCCCGCACAACAGAACTTTTGATCTTTTCTCTCACTATTGTGATTCTTTGCATGTTTCAAAGCTTTTTATTCATTATATCATTTGAATTGTCTGGAAATGTATAATTTTGGTGTATACTGCCAGTAATAGTGCAGTTATCTTTGAATCTGTTTCTGTCTTTCCTTCTTCGAATACTGGGTGATAATTGAAAATATATAATATGTTTAACATAGTCTTTTCAAAATATTCTAAAAGTGATAACATGTTATTGGGTTTGTTTTTTCTATTATCAGTGTCCATTGTGCTCCTTGATGATTACTGTATTGAACATCACATCTCCATTTTGATTGTTCACTTTTGTGACATCTTACCGAAAATGAACTTTTATGCAGAGGAATATATATATATTCACTTGTATTTGATATTGAAGTTTACAGATTTCTCATTTTCTTTTGAGATTTGTGTGTTAATTATTTTAATATTTTGTATTTGGATGTAAAACGTTTTATCCTCATCCAGTGGGTGAACACTTAATTGGAAACAACAAAAATAGTTTGTGATTTGTTGTGACACCCAGGGACCCTGGGGGGGGGGGGGGTTTTATCGCCTGTGAATTTTTTAGTGAATCCAGATATCTAAATATTTTCAAAGAATATTTTTACAATGAATCGTTTTTTATGCTCTTATAAATCAAACTGGTGTAGTGTAAAATGTTTATATATGTTGGATCTAAATTGCTGGAAATATTTTGTTTAATTTTTTACTAGATAAGTGAGATATTAGGCTAAATATTCCATGTCTCAGAAATGTTGGTACATTCGGCAATTCATCTGCTACAGTTCAGGATTTTTTACACAATTTGTCAGGTTTATCAATTTTGTTTCCATTCATTTCGTCTATCTTTGACAATTTGTTACTCATTGGACTTCAGCATTGCTCTTCATACAACAAAATGTTAAAGTTAATAGCCTACAAAGAAAACAGACTTTACTGTATCTAGAACCTCATTTGAGTTCATGTCAGGGTGCTGATTCACTTGACAGTCTATCACAATACTTCTGTTCTAATAGATGAGTCTACCTCAATACTTCTGTTCTAATTGACAACAGTCTACCTCTACTACTATACTTCTGTTCTAATTGATGATAGTCTACCACAATATTTCTGTTCTAATTGACGACAGTCAACCACAATACTTCTGTTCTAATTGACGACAGTCTACCACAATACCTCTGTTGTAATTGACGACAGTCTACCACAGTACTTATGTTCTAATTGACTTCTACCACCAGACCAGTCTGACAGCTGTTACACTGGACAGTCTACTGCAATCCGCAATATGAAAGATTTTCCCTGTGCGTTTATACAGGCTTGGGGCTGTAAATGGCAGTTTTTTAAATGTTTGGTTCTAAAAATGGGAAGGAGGGGGGGGGATGGGCGGGAGGCTGTTATAATGTGGGGGTGATGGTATAAAATTACCTTATGCTATCCTTACGGCAGAACTGATTATTGCTGTAGACCGCGGCCCGGGGGGGGGGGGGGGGGGGGGGGGCGGCTTAAGTACTTAAGTAGACCATATTATCATGGTACACCATCAAGTGGACCAGCACCCATGTCAGTCTCTCTATTTCATTGTACGCACATTTTGGAGTTTTGATTCCATGCTCTATGCTCATGAAAATTCGTATAATTTACTAGGAAGGGAAACCGAGTCTATTTCATGAAAGTATATCATCATCATTATTGTTGATATTGTTTTGAGAGCTGATCTCTATTCTAAGTCACTCTGTATGCTTTTCATTAGCCTTTTATGTGGTCTTATTGCTATCTCTGAATCAGTTTGTTTTGCTTCTTTTACTGAGAAATCTCGATCAGTCAAACCCACTTACACCCCCCCCCCCCCCCTTTCCCTCCCCCTTACATCCCTAAATTTGTTTACCGTCAGGTTTTACCGAAGCACAAAAAGACACGCCAATATAGACATACTATTTGCTCCTTTAAATGATCATCCGCTGACTGCTTGAGTTGTACGGTCTTGACTCAACTAATGTAAATTTACCCAACAAAACCACCAGCGAACTGGCGGCCAGAGGTACACACAGTGCACAGCACCCACTTGGTTGCTGCACAGTATTAATCTCCTCCCTTTCTTCCACTTACAACTCTGCAAGTTAGAGTTTGTTGCCAGTTTGCTCCCTCTCCACCAATTCCACCTCCCTGCCTAACCCATCTTCCTAATCTTGTCCTGCGCATTTCAGGCAGCATGCATAAGTAGCTTCTGATCTAGCAGTTATTTTCCCTTTTAATTTAACAGAGATCAGCATTAAAATCCCTTTATATCACTAGCCCCACTCTTCTGCCAACTACGTGCTGGCTGCAAAGTTGATGGTATGATGGGGTTTGACTGTAAATATAAAGGAAATTTTGTGCCTTCAGGAATTTAGATCACCCCTTCTTTAGTAAAATTTTGACATTCAGTAAGTTTAAGTTTTAGAATGTAAGAGTACATTCTAGCAATTCAAGAATCTCATGGCAAGAAAGAGCACAGAAACTTAAATTGTACGTTGGTATTTTTGTCTGTTGTGCTGTATAGATTATATCTTTTATACTAATAAAAAGAAATTGATCCCCTCAATGAACTTGTATTGGAAATTATAGATGTGAATTTTGCCACCATATACTACAACATATAAAAATGCTTTTCATACAGAGTTTCCAGCACACTAATTCTTTCTTATGTGATAACAGTCCATTAATAGAGATCAAGTAGCAACTTATCTTTTTTCAAAGTTTGTGTGTTTCATTTATTCTGATATACAGTTTGGCAGGACCTATCTTTTCCTTGTACACTGTACTTTTCCAATGATTTATTTCAATTTCTTTTTAATTTTTATGTTTCCAGAAAGTCTATAATCTATTATTATTTTCACTGATGCAAGTTCAATTTTTTATCAAATCTATAAAGTATTTTGTTTATAAAAGAAAATGTCTTGTCAACCAGAGAAAAAAAGTACAACAACATGTATTTTCTTAAAAATTTGTTCTGTAGCAGTTTTTTATCTGAATAAACTTTTTATTCTTTCTCAGAGTAACCTCTTTATACTTATTCATCAGTGATGGTTTAAGTTTAAACTACCAATATCTGATGTTTGTGTTTCTTGTTTATTACACGTCAGCCAAAAGATCCTGGAAGAAGATATAAGGCGTTGAAGTACAAATTATCCTCTTTGACAAAAGTGATTCTTCCCATAGCAAAGCTCTTGGCAGGATTTACAGGTTTATGTTGAGATTGAGAAGATAAGAAAAATTTGGAATGCATTTGATTTCAAAGCCCTTGTTTAAAAGTTGTTCTAGTTCCTGGAACAGCACATGCACTCCAAATGTAAAGTCGGAGACACATCCACTATATCATGTAGCAGTACTGTATTCACTTCACAACTCTGAGAGTCCAAATATAGCAATGGGCTACACCACTAGAGAGAAAACTGCAGGGCAGCTTCTTCTTTTTTTTTTCCGGATCAAAAGAGAACCACACAGTTTGTGTGCACCACCAGATTCACTGTCGGACTATCATCGAGAACAAAAACAAAGAAGGAAAAAGGTAACCGACCGCACCTCTAACACTGACCCAATCCAGTTACTTATTTCACTCATTGAGTCAAGATTATAGAAGCTTCTTTAATTCCTACAAAGAGATTTAGGCAGTTCTATCTTTGTCAGGACTCCCTAAGCAGGTTGGAAATCAGAACCGCTCTCAAATTTTTCTGATACATGAGCCTTGGGATAACAATATATTTTGCCTTGTTTTCTTGGGACTTTACTTTTACTTAAATATCCGCCGCTTATACCTTTTGGGTGTTGCGGGAAGAAAGAGGGCACTTTCAAGGGGAGAGAGAAATGGTGGAATGGTATAGGTCTACTAACAATCCTGTCAACACTATTAGGTTATTTATGAGGCGGGACCTCCAAGTTTAACGTCATCTCCGAAAGGACCAAGTCAAATGGGAATTTCGTGTAAAGTGCCTTTTCCAAGGACACAACACCTGATTGAGCTAGGACTCAAAACCCCCTAACCCGCAATCTCAATCTCATCATTACAGGTCCGATAGCCTAACCGTTAGGTTGCCAATGCTATTGAGGAGGGGGGGGGGGGAGAGAAAGTGAAGAATGGGAGAGAACATGAATTGTTGAAGAAGCAACAAGGAGAAGTGGTGTAAACGTGTGATATCAATTTTAATCTCTGACAGAAATTCAGTTGAACCTGGACTGACATGCAACATTCATTTTCATGACTGATATTGCAACTTTCATTTACAGAACCATCACATTTTTTCTAAAAAATCAATGTTCCTTTTAAAAGCACAGACACAAGTGATACTATTTGATCACAGGTATGCACGATAATAAGAAATCTGAAATTCTCAGGCAATCTTCCTTAAAAAAGATAAATATATTTAGTGCACACTTTGCTGCATGCAACTAAAATGCAAAAGGGAGGGATATTAATTATGTGCAAATCTTGACAGATACAGTCGGGCACAGATAACATGAACACAGAAAACTCAAAATCATGACAGCTCGTACAATTTGCCATTCCCAACTGATGATACCTCTTTTAATTTTTCGTTATCAGTTATCCTGAATTATGGACGTATTGAACATATTTGTCAATCCCTGATGTGTTTGAGTTATCTGTGCCCGACTGTACCTTGATGTGCTGAACACTTCTACAACCTTTCGTGTGGCTGTCAGTGGTAGCAATACCTTTGGTTGTTACAACCAATGGTATTGGTACCACTGACAACCAAAGGTATTGGTACCACTGGCAGCCTCATGAAAGGTGCTGCAGACAGATAGATATATACTCATATCACTGCCTCTGTTGTCAGAGTAGACCCCTTTCCTGATCCCTATTCAAAGTTCTGCTGCATGCTTTTCATTAGCCTATTATCTGGTCTTATTGACTTATAATTGCTATCTCTGAATCATTTTAGTAAGCTTCTTCAAATTGGAACATCTCAATCACTGCAAAACAGTACAACACGCTGCTATTTATACTCCCCTCACATTACATCACCAGCCTTGTTTACCAATGCACAAACATGAACGCCTCTACAAACATGCTATTTGCCCCTTAAAAAGATCATCTTCTACCTGGCAAGAGAAAGAACACTCATGGCTTCATCTACAGGAATGAAGAGCACATCTCCAGCTACAACAACTAGACCTTGGTAAAAACCTTAACTGCAAATACTGGACAATTATGGAGGAGAGGTGTTCAAAACTCAAAAGTGACCATGATTCCTTGTCTCTTATGCTTGTGTCCTGAACAATGCTTATCATTCTACTTAATATATTGAATTAGAAAATCAAACAACAAAATAAATTGTAACAAATGAAAGTCAAATAAGGCAAATGAGTCTAGCATGGAAATTTCTTTCAGGAAGAGCACAGAAAATAACAAAAATAGAGCTGCCAGAAATAAAAGTGAAAAAAAGAACAAGCAAAATTTGTTGTGGATTACCACAAAGACAGTTCAATAAACACTGAGCAGTGATAAAGCAAAAACAAAACAAAAAAACCTACATTAACAGCCAGATTACACCTGCAGGTAAGAGAATTGCGTAATTGTGCAAATACAACAACAAAAGTTTCACAAAAGAATACAACATAACTCAAGCAACATACTTTTCTTAAAAGAAAATGTATGAAAATATACATTACATATATTTATAATGCACTATATCCTATAAAGATGCTCTTAAAAGTGCATTCCACTTAATGTCTTATACAAAAATGTAGGGGTAAAAATTAGCCCTACATATATAGGACAGCTACGACATATTGAACTTCAAGACCATTCTTAACATCAAATATTGCTACAACCAAAGTTTAGAAGAAAAAAAAACTGACTTCAAAAACCGTTCACAACATCAAATACTGCCACAAACAAAATCAAAACAATGCTACTAAAATCATAATCAACTGCATTCATAACGCAAAAATGATTCTCTATAAAAAAAAAAAAAAAGGTCAATTTCAATAAAGAGAATGGCGTGTGTTAGTGCTGGAACTTTATTTCACCAGTGAAGGCAAGACACGAATATTGAGAGTGTTTGGCTACGGTCTAATGCAAGGACATCCCAATATGTGACAAAGAATAAAATAAACATCTGTGAGCTAGTCCTTTTACACAGAAGCTAATTAGACTTGGATAGCCATACATTGGTGTCTAAAATGCTGTTGTTATTGTGCCAACTTATCAGAAAACAAAACTCCACTTGGTTTATGCCATAAATCAATCATAATATCTGCATTTTCATGGCTAATATAGCAGCTTTCATTTACAGAACCATCACATTTCTTTTTAAAAATTAATGCCGGTGTTCCTTTAAAGCACCAACACAAGTTATACTTCTTGATCAAAGGCATGCACAATGAAAGCAAATTCTTCAATCAGAAATCTGAAATTATGTTGTACAGTTCACATTCTTGATGAGCTTACTAGTCCAATAAAGTCATTTGAGATGAAAGTAAAAAAAAAAAAAGTCAGAGGTCGCTGTATAGGCAGGGGCTATAACACCCCTTTCTGAACTGTGAGGCTACTTAAGAGGGAGTAAGAAAATAGTAAAACAAGACATAGATCTAGATCTACATGGAATTGGGCTCAAAGAGAAAGTTGAGTAATAGTTCAGCTTCACTGTATTTCTGCAATACTGAGGGGAACAAAGAGCAAAAGACAACTTTATTCACACTTGTGCCATAGTTCATAGCCATGTGTATTTTCAGTCATACTGTATAGAATATGGAAAACTCATGTACTACATTTTCAAATAAACAACCAATTACTGGTCATCGTAATGTAGCACAATTTGGAGCTTGGTTTATGCGTCTTGAAAAAAAAAATAGACACCACTGACCCATTACAATCTGTCATCACTACAACAAGCCCAACACTCTCAAGAACAACAATGACTGACCCCCAAAAAACTACTTGACTCTAGGATACAATAGCTTCATAAAATTTCTCTTCAATCTAAAAACATATAAATTATAACAGTACAACTGGAAAACATATGTCACACTTTGTCAGTTTTTTTGTTGCGTTTTTTTTTAATAGAAATTTATGCAGTATCACAAAATGAGTGGATGACACAATAGCACTCTCAAAGTTTTAAAATTAAATTTATCTGGCAAAAATCACTATCATCATTTACAGTACATTCGAGACTGGTATGATGAATTCTTGTATCTTCAATCATCAAACACTGTTCCACTTTTCATTAACTTTAACCCTATCCGTACGCCCTGGGGTGATTTTGTACCCCCAAGGTTGTATTCTTCACATTTTAAAATACTTCTAGTACGAAGATCTCTTTGAAACTTTGTACAGATTGGATTAACGGGTAAATTTCCTCTTGGAAAGTAATGGCATAGAGTTCCCCACGACGTATGGATACGATAGTAAAACACGATGTACGAATAGGTTGAATGAATTAAGGTGGAGATAGTAAAACACAGGAGGATAGTGTCTCAGGAGATTGATGACACTCTGAATGACAAAAAGTCCACATAGGGAGGCAGCGTGCTGAAATCAGGCGCTCGTCAAAATAATGAAGTATAAGAAAGTAGCATTTTTCGCTGAATTGGCAATTTTTATAGACTTTTTGTTTTTTGGTTCAACACCTTATATGTCCATGTAAGAACACATTTCCGTGTGGATTTTAAAAAGTAAATTTCCTGTTTCCACAGACTCATCATACGCTAAGGAAATAACAAACTTTGGTGGCCATTTTCTCTCTAATTTTAATTTTGAAACCAGGTGGCCCCCACCTCCTTCAATCGCAAATATCTTGACCTCTATGTAGGATAGATGGGTATTTTTTTCATCGAAAGCAACACAAAAAGCTTTAAGATGATACCAATAACTCCAAATGCCCAAAAATTGACGAGCACCTGATTCCACCATGTCGTGACACATATTTATCTCCATTTTAAAAAAAGAATCACAATCTTAAATTGACGATACCACGGGGGAAAAAAACAACAGATTTGTAAATTACACACAAGTGCAATATTCAGCATCAA